TGACACACATGCAAATACACGTACAGGCACTGAGATGCAGACACGCACGCTGCCGCTGCCACACGTGCAGACACTGACACATGTGCAGACACTGACACGTGCAGACACATGCATGGACACTGACATGCGTGCAGACACATGTAGAGGCAGAGACACCCATATAAATCCATGGACAGACACTGACACGTGTGCAGACACATGTACAGGCAGTGACACCCATGTAAATTCACAGACAGACACTGACACGCATGCAGACACATGTACAGACACCCGTGTAAATCCATGGACAGACACTGACACGCGTGCAGACACATGTACAGGCAGTGACACCCATGTAAATCTGTGGACAGACACTGACACGCATACAGACACACGTGCTGCCACTCACACCCACGCAAAGGCACACACAAGCATCGACACGCGCAGACACCCTCCCGCCTCACCCCCTCGCACATGCGTGTGCACCGCACACCTGCAAGGAAAGACGCAACTCAGCGGCGGGGGAGGACGGATGCCTGGGTCCTCTCGGCACCCCAAATTTCCAAACTCCGTGTGGGAGCCACTCACCGGGGCTGGCGAGGATGAGGGTGGCCTGGGCAGCGGCGAGCGCGTGCTGCAGCGCCCGACCCCGCACGTTGCAGTTGAGACAAGCCATGGGGCAGCTCAGCTTGGCCAACGCCAACCAGGTCCATACGTAGGTGGGTTCGTTGGGGAGGAAGACGGCGACGGTCTGACCCGGCTGCAGCTCCAGGTGCTGGGAGAACACACGGGCAGCCCGGTTGCTCCAGCGTTCGATGTCTTCGTAGGTGTAAACTTCATCCTGGAAGCGGAGCAAGGGCCAGCGGGGCCGGCGGCGAACGTGCTCCTGGAAGACGTCGAGGAGGGTGACGGGGGGCTGGCGGTTCAAACGCCGCTGACATCGCACCGATGACCGCACCAAGCCGGCAAAAGCCACCAGGTCAGCCCAGAATAAGGGGAACAAGCGAGGGGCCGCCGCCGGCACCAGCAGCAGCAACAAGACCAGCCCGGCCGCCGCCGCTGCCGTGACGGCCCCCAGCGCCGGCATGGTCACGGGGGGGGTGCCGGTCCCCGGCGACACCCGCTGGGTGCTGTTGACCAAGGTCCGCCCCAACTGCACCTTGCCCCAGCTGCCGGCGCCCGGCAGGGCTTTGCCGTGTTTGCCAGTGGTGCCAGGATTAGGGTGGTTTGTTTTCTTATCTTTTTCTTTTTTTTTTTTTTTTTCCCACTTTTCCCTGCGGTAGGAGCCTTGCCCTGGCGTGTAGAGCAACACCTCAAGGGCGGCTCACGTCTCCGTGACCGGCTAGCTGGCTAGCTGCCTGCCTGCCCATCCCTCCTGCCTCACCCCGTTCTTCTGCCCCTCCAGCGGCAGAGGAAGGGCGCTCATCCGTCTGTCCATCCTGCTGCCATTTGGGTCCTTCTGGCTGCTGATGCCGGACAGTTGCCATCCAGCCAGACATCACTGGCACCTGCTCGTCTGTCTGCATCCGCCGAACCTATCAGTATGGAGACATGAGCTGTCCATCAGTGTAGCTAGTCTCTGTCTGTCTGTCTGTCTGCCTATCCAGCTGTCTCGCCATCCTTCCACATACCCACCTAGCCGTCTACCTACCTCCTCTGTCGACCATATCTATTTATCCACCCACCCATCCATCCTTCCACCCATCCATCCATCCACCCGCTCTTGGCTTTGGGTTAGGGGTTGGGGTCTACACGGAGGCATCTCCGTGAGCAGACCCTGCTCCATCAGGTGCTTGGCGCACTGCGTGGAGAACGCAAGCACGGCTGGGTGCTCTGTGGGATGGGTGGAGGTCCCTCTGCAGCCCCTCCATGTCTCCATCCAACCCCAACGACTCCATCCAACTCCCCCATGTCTCCATCCGACCCCAACATCTCCATTCAATCTACATCTCCATCCAACCTTAACATCTCCATCCATCCACCATCTCCATCCAAAACCAGTGTCTTCAGCTGACCCCAAACATCTCCAGATAACCCCAAACATCTCCAGATAATCCCAAACATCTCCAGATAATCCCAAACATCTCCAGCTGACCCCAAACATCTCCAACATCTTCAACTGACCCCAAACATCTCCAGCTGACCCCAAACATCTCCAACATCTTCAACTGACCCCAAACATCTCCAGATAATCCCAAACATCTCCAGCTGACCCCAAACATCTCCAACATTTCTCCTTCCATTGTAAAAACTGGGAAATCGGCCTATTTGGCATTTACTTTATTGGTGCTCCCACGTGGAAACCCCACCCCAACAAGACTTGCTCCCCTTCCCGTTTTCTTGGAAACCAGCTGCATCTTCAGGCCTTTCCCAGCAGGACCAGCCCCACACCAAAGGATTTTGGCCCCCCACCCCACCCCTCCTCCTGTGTGAATGGTCACACAAACAAGGTGGTTTTTTTTTCCTTACTTCCCAGTAGAAAAACAAAGTTTGCCATTTAAATCCCAATCCTGGGTGTGAGCACCTGGCAAGCTGCTTCTTGACAGGCCAATTAATCTTTCCGCTAATTAAAAAAAAAAAAAAGAACCAAACACATTCAGCGCCGTGTCGCTCACCTTTGCCTCCTATTTGCAACATCGGGTGTTTGTGGGCTATAAAATTGTCACTGGGATCAAATGGGTTTTTGGCAGCTGCTGGAAAACTCAGGGTGAAACACACCAGGTGTTGCCCTTTGCTCAAGAAGGTTTTGCAATTTTGCGGTGTCATGGTTTAACCCCAGCCGGCAACTAAGCACCACGTTCTGCTTAGTTCACTGCTCGTTCACTTCCCCCCGCCACGCAGTGAATCGAAAAAAAGAGAGAATCGAAAAAAAAAGTAAAACTCATGGGTTGAAATAAGAACAGTTTAATAAACAGAAAAGAAGAAACTAGTAATGATAATGGTAACACTAATCAAACGACAACAGTAATAACAGAACGATTGGAATGTACAAGTGATGGCACAGTGCAATTGCTCGCTACCTGCCGATCGACGCCCCGTTAGTCCCTGAGCGGCGATCCCCCGCCCCCAGTCCTCCCAGTTTATATACTGGGCATGACGTCCCATGGTATGGAATGCCCCTTTGGCTAGTTTGGCTCAGCTGCCCTGACTGTGTCCCCTCCCAACTTCTTGTACCCCTCCAGCCTTCTTGCTGGCTGGGCAGGAGAAGCTGAAAAATCCTTGACTTTAGACTAAATATTACTTAGCAACAACTGAAAACATCAGCGTTATCAACATTCTTCTCATACTGAACTCAAAAACATAGCACCATACCAGCTACTAGGAAGACAATTAACTCTGTCCCAGCTGAAACCAGGACAGCGGTCACCAGTTTATCGGCGTTTTGTGTCACCCGAGTCAAAGTGCCGCTGCGGTGAGGGGACGTTGACCTGGGGAGAGGCAGCGGGTACCGGGGTGGACCCGTGCCCTGCCGTCCCCACCAGCGAGGTCCCACCTTGGGGATGCCCTGAAGGAGATTATTGGGGTGGGGGGAAGATGGTTCCCTGTCCCCAACCTGGTGCCCCCCACCCTGTCCCTGTCCCCATATTCACATCCCTGTGCCCTGCTCTTTGCCACCAGCCTGCAAGGGACATTGGGGTTGGTTGGGGGCTGCTGGTGGAAGTCTTGTGCCCCCCCCTGCCCCAGAGCCACCAACCCCCCTGGACACTGTGTCCCCATCATCCCCAACTGCTCACTGGGGACGTGGGGCAGAAGAAGCCAGGTCCTACCATGGGGCCAGTGGGACTGGGAGGCACTGGGAGAGCCCAGGCTCCAGTGGGGCTGTGTCCTGGCCTCACGGCTGGGGGTACAAGGGAAGGAGGAGAAGTGGCTGTAAAGTCACTTTCAGTTCCCCTTCAGGTCACCTCCCCCTCCAGGTGGCACTTGTGGTCCCCAACGGGGAGGACACAGACACAGGGGACTTCATAGGTGGTCCCTGATGGGGTGTCACCCCTTGGGTGCCACACACGGACCATGATGGGGGTGTCACATGTGGTCCCCAATGGGGTTGTCACAAACGGGATGTCATATGCCATCTCCAACGGGGTGTCACGTGTGGTCCCTGATGGGACATCGGATATGACACACGAGGTGTCACATGCAGTCCCCAAAGGGGCGGGGGGGTGTCACACGAGGTCCCCAATGGGGTGTCAAATAGGGGATGTCACACGAGGTCCCCAGTGGGGTGTCAGTCTTGGGACGTGACATGTGGTCCCTGATGGGATGTCACATGTGGGATGTGACATGTGGTCCCCCATGGGGTGTCACACATAGGGTGTCCCACACAGTCGGGTCATGTTTGGGGCAACCCACATCATACCTGCGGGGGGTTTGACACACTTGAGGCACAGAGTCCCCCCCCAAAGACAGCGTCCCAAAAGGAGTGGGACACAGAACAGGGGACCCCCACCATCCCTCCCCGTGTTTGGGGGGGAGACAGAAGGTGACCGGGGGGAGGGAAGAAATGGTCACAAAAGACAGGGAAGGTCCCACCGAGATTTGAACTCGGATCGCTGGATTCAGAGTCCAGAGTGCTAACCATTACACCATGGGACCGGCCCGCCCTGCCTGCCCCGCCGGGCCCCACACGCCTCCCCGCCGCCTCCGCCGCGAAATGGAGCCCGGCCCGGAGCTGGGGGGGGGACGACGGGGGACACACAGCGGCGGGGATCGCGCTGGGGCGGGCGGGGAAAGGACCCTGCGGTGGTGGGGAGAAAAAAAATAAAGAGGGAACTTTCGCCCGAACAGGGACTTGAACCCTGGACCCTCAGATTAAAAGTCTGATGCTCTGCCGACTGAGCTATCCGGGCTCCTGCCAGCCCCCGCCCGCCGCCTCCCCATGGGCCGAGGGGGATACCTGCGGGGTTCAGGGGGGGAAAGAGCGGAAAAAAAAAAAAAGCTTTTTAGGAGCAAAAACCGTGATTCCCCCCCCCCCAAGGTTTTAAGGTGAAAAAGGTGCTGTTGGGTTGTGGGAAGCTGCGCCTCAGGCCGTACGGAGTCGCAGCGGTGGGCGGAGCTTCTTTAAAAGACCTCAGGGCGGACCTGAGTGAAAACTGCCCCCCCCCCCCCGAGAACCAATGGGAAAGCGCGGGAGAGGGGAGCCGGCGCCTTGCTCTCAGCCCCACAGCAGACATGTGCCGAGCTATTAATATGCCCTCTCCCCCCCCAAAAAAACCCCTCTAATATACCAAAACCTCGCTTAAATCTCCCTGTATAGCTCGAGGGAACGAGCGCTGCCTTCACCTGCCCGCAGCCACCCACCCCCCCAACCCCAGATTATCACCTTCATACGGCCACCGAGGCGGATCCAAACCTCGGGCTCCTATTGGCCAAGAATCGGTGCTGTTCTATTGGTCCTCCGGCGAGCGGCGTCATAACCAATCAGAAGGTGTCTTTTCGATCCCCGGTAGGGTATAAAAAAGCAGGGCGGCGGCGTTTCGCTATTATTTTCTGTAGTGTGGCGGGGAGAGATGTCGGGGCGCGGCAAGCAGGGGGGCAAAGCCCGGGCAAAGGCCAAGTCGCGTTCATCCCGCGCCGGCCTCCAGTTCCCCGTTGGCCGCGTTCATCGTTTGCTTCGTAAGGGTAACTACGCCGAGCGGGTGGGCGCCGGTGCTCCCGTTTATTTGGCCGCCGTTATGGAATACCTGACGGCTGAAATTTTGGAGCTGGCGGGTAACGCCGCCCGGGATAATAAGAAAACGCGGATCATCCCCCGTCACCTGCAGCTGGCGGTGAGGAACGACGAGGAGCTCAATAAGCTGCTGGGTGGCGTCACCATCGCGCAGGGCGGGGTGCTGCCCAACATCCAGGCTGTGCTGCTGCCCAAGAAGAGCGAGAGCCACAAGGCCAAGGGCAAGTGAGGCAGCGGCAGAGGGGTTGGGGGGAAACCTGCAGGTTTTTGTTCTTTGTTTTAAACCCAAAGGCTCTTTTCAGAGCCACCCACCGCTTCAGGAAAAGGGCTGGAGGAGCAGGATGAGGAGGGGGCTTGGTGCTAATGAGCTTTAATCTATTTTTTTTTCACCATGGGAGCAATGAGAGGGGAAACCCCCTCCATCACCCCAAAGCTCATTAAGCAGCCCTTAAAGAAGCAGGAGAGCACCCAGTAAAAAATAAAAACGGCGGCGGAGGAGATCGGTTTCACGGCTGTGATAACAACGACTTACAAAATAAACACTAATTTCTACCGATAATGTTACTTCCTGGTATTGCCGCATCAGGAAGGAGTGGTGATTGCTTGTCGTTATGCAAATTAAGGCTCCAGTCTACGCCCGCCCATTGGCTGCAATAGCCCCTGCGGAGCTCCTCCGCCCATGCCCCTGCAGCGGCTCCAAAACCCGCGCGCTGATTGGCCCATTCCTGAATTCGTCCAGCCAATGGCGGTGCGCTGTTTGGATCCCCGCCTTCCCTGCCGCTATCTCCCCAGCCCTACTGGGGTGGGCACCAGGGCGGGCCGCGAGAAGCAGCGAGGGCAGGTCTCACTCCGAAATACTAATTAATACACCGAACACTCTTTATACGATCCAACCCCAGAAAAAAAACGTGTCCCAGTTCATCCCTGTTCTACCTAAACATGAAATAAAAGCTAGAAAGTAGGGTGGGGGTGTCATTCCCCACCCAGCCACTGCACTACACTTTAAATATGTGCTAATAAGACCTCTTTACGCTCATCAAACCCAGCTTTTTTTTCAAAATTGCTGCATTTTGACACTCCGAAGAAGCC